GTTTTTTTTTTGTGCTACTTTAAGCAACTATACTCCCTCGCTTTGTTAATGCGGATTTGATGCTTTCCTGTAATTTCATCAGGCCATGTGGTTCAATAATTGTCTTTTTACATAGAATGAATTATATATCTATCTTGGTTTAATCCCAATCTTAAACGTGTATATCCACCCTTTTTATTTGTAAAGCCAGTCGATCAAACAATTTTGTGCTCGTACTCTTGAAAAGGGTTAATTTCAGATATCTAAAATCGTAGTTACTTCTTGTATCCTAACGTTTCGTGTATATTTATTCAATTATTTAAATTTAAATTTACGATGTTATAGTGGGCGTTTTTTTCCAAATGCGCTTTTGAGAAGAATCGTAAAAAATGAAAATGAATGAATGTAAGATAGACTTAAGCGGTAATTGCTATGCAAACCCTAAATTTGCATGGCATCAATGAACAATGGGCAGCTTTTATCACTGCCGTTCAGCTAGTTATTTTAAGATGAACGATTTAAACAATACACTGGACAAGAGGAAAATAAGAAATTCATTTGGGCTTGCCTCGTATTTTCCATGCCAAGGGCATCAGTAAGCAAAAATAAAATACTTACATTTAAGTTGGGGATTTCCATTATCTGCATGATATAAATCTCGTGGCTGTAGTCCGATGTCATATTTTTCAGTTTTGTATAGAATATTTATTCATTCAGTCACTTTCTATTCTCCGAAAATATAAATAAAAACTGGGTTTCGAAGGATTTCTCAGTGCTTATTCTGACTTGATTTTCCATTTCAAAGGGTAAGTTAGTTGGAAGAATTCGTGATTTGATCTCATCGGAAACAATAAGAGGATTATCTCGTAGGAAAGACTGTTGAATTGTGCGAAATCCTTTATTCTATTTTCAGTCCGGCAGTCTGAGTCATGCATTTTCGTTGTTTTCACTGTATTCATAATTTTTTAGTATTTGCTTATACTGGCCATCTTACCGACTCGTTTTACATCAAAATGGATGTGAGTCCCGATGACCGTTATCTGGTCTGTGGTAGCTCTGACCGTCTGGCCTATATATACGCGATCGGCCGCAGCCGACAAAGCCCCATCGTGCTGCCTGGTCACTGTGGAGAGGTTAGTGTTCCTCGATGGAGCAGACATGATCCCACAAGGCTTATTACTTTGTCAGATGATTCTCAGGCCTTCGTTTGGACTATGTTTCCGGCCAGACGAGACACAATGGCTGAGCCTGAGGAGTTGATTGGTAAGTAATTAAGGACCAACACAGCAGGCATTTTTTAGTACTAGGGTCTCTTTTTCAGTATTATTTTATAATTTTCCTCTGGTAATTGAGAGACTTAACAGGGCTTCAATTAAGGCAGTTTTGAGGTCGGAATAGGCAATGTTTTCCTAGTGTACTCATCATTTCCATTTTTGACCAAGAGACAACCGTCTTCATTCGACAATGTATACGCGAGGGATCCTCTAGTAATTTATTATTTAGTTTACCTTTTTCTAGATCGTTGTAGTTTTTGGAGCGCTATCGTTCGTGATACCAAGCCAGATATTCTTCATTGCTAAAGAAATATTCAGATAAAGGCGGTAATCTGGAGAAAGCCTCATGGCAAAATTAATCTAAGTGAAAGGTTATTTTAAGAGCTATATATGGATTCATTCATCGCACATTCTTAAATGAATTTATAATGAACACTGAATGAAAATCATTTTCTCATTTGTCGTTAGTTGCCATCTAACAGATCCTCTGGCTAATTATTTTTTAGAGCCTCTATATTTTAAAACAAGTTCATGCTCCCTTTATAAGGAAGATTTTTTGGATCCTAACTAAGTTGACCTCAACAAC